AAGTAAGAAAGACAAAGATTGAATTGCATAGTTCAAATTATTTGAGCAAATTATAAAAACAAATAATTACAATAAAACTATAAAGAATACAATTTTTGAATTTTAAAAAAATAAGTAATCTTCGTATTTTTTATGATAGAATTTCTTCAGATTACATGATATATAAATAAATTTCATAACTGAAAACATAAAGTTTGGTTTTTCATTTTTGTTCTTCCACTTCCACTTTCAGCTGTCAAAATCTTTTTTGCTTCATCATATTTTACTTGATTGAGTTCAAACATTGTTTTGTAATTGGAATATATCAGTGAAATTATAGCAAAATCAATATTAGGAAAATTAACAGATAGTGGTATTTTGTTATGATTTCCTAATTTAATAATTGCTTTATATTTCCTACAATTGAAATAGTAAATCCTTTTGAATATTTGTATGTACGGATTCCATTAGTTTTACTTTGTTTAGGCATTTTAGTGAAGCTATAAGTTTGTATAAAAATCGAATTTAACGTCGATTTGTCAGTTTATTATTTAGATTTATTAGATAAAATGTTACAATTTTTTTAAAACAGAACAGGTATACAGAAAAGTTAACTTTGGATTAAAAGACCTTTTTGCCAACATGTAAACCAGAGGTATCTACCTTTTCAGGCTATCTGGTCTGGGAACTTGGTGGAACTTGATTTGAATACCAAAGTAATAGGGATATATTGTGAAGTAAATACCAGGGTTTAGGTGAACTCTACAAGGACATAGCAGTTTAATAGTATACCCTGACTGCAAGTGTTGACCTCAGCCATAGCGATACTAGGTCAGCTGTAAGAATGGGATACAGAAGATTCTGGAAGGTTTAGTACGAGGTCAAATGTTTTCCATATGAGTAAACTGCTTTAAAGACTTAGTGATCATGGCATATTTTCACCAGCATCGGCCAGGGTCATTGGTAGGCAGAGGTAGATTGGTGGATACGGGAACTAAAGTGTTTAAATAGAGAACCTACAAGCAGGTTTCAGGTATGGCAGCTAGTGTAGAACCTTTGGGTGGACTACTTAAATTAGACAATGACTAAAGTTGTATGAGTGACTAGTTGTATACTCTTTCATAATTGCCTCTTGTAGTTGTAATGCAACTATTAGCCAAATATACTATCAATAAAATCTTGGGTTACAAGTACTCATCTTAATATTTAAAAAAAAAAAAAACTATAATATTTATTAGCTTTAATCTTTTTTTATATAAATAATTGTATTATTCCAAAGTTATTAAGATAATCATAGATATATACATTGTTATTTTTCTATTCAATTCTTCAAGAAATATATTACAACATTTAATATTATTGGTTTTAAATCTTTTTGAACTTTGTGACTATTGAATTAATTTTTTTATTTGTTTTTTATATAAAAGTATTTAATTCTATCTACTAGCAATAATATTAGTTAGATATTGCAAAGAATATTAAGAATAAGTAATAAAAGCTTTTATTAAGTTTGCTTTTTTTATGTTATACTTAATTTTATTTTTATTTTCTTGATACTAATTTGTTACTATATTATTAAAATATTTAATAATAATTATAATTATTTTTTTTATTGTAATTATTTGTTTTTATAATTTGCTCAAATAATTTGAACTATGCAATTCAATCTTTGTCTTTCTTACTT